GCAATATTTCAAGAAGTAAAAATCTGAACACAAAAAGTTGTTGAGCTGCTCACGACGGAGCCTGAACCAGAACCGCCCCCCCCACATTGTTATTTTTTTTAAAAACCCAATCCAGGTCATTTGCTTTAAAATCTAAAATTCCCCCGGATGAGCATGTAGGACCCCTAAAAGAGGACACGTCCTGGAATTCCCAGACGTATGGCAACCCTACAGTAGTATTATACCAGCTGATGGGAAGTCCAGGGGAGGAGATGGGCTTGTTGTGCTCAGATTCTGCTTGCAGACTTCCATTGAGCATCTGGTCAGCCACTGTGAAAACAGGAAGGTGGACTAGCTGGGCTTGATGTAGCAGGGATTCTTCTCATGTGCAGACTTTTAAATTCTCTGCTTACAGCATTGTGCATATAGGATCAAGGGTTGGGGGGCTGAAAGGACCACTCTTAATTTTCCAGTGAAAATTATACCACCACACTTACACCGCCAGATTTACTGGTAGTCTGTTTTGAGTTGTCATGTTATTTAAAACCATCAAAAAGTATCCAGCAGTTTCTAGGTATAGGAGCGCCCAGCACTGGTGAAGGAAAAATCCAAAATGTAGTATGTTTGTGGAAAGGTCAAATTAAGCCTTCTAAAATGCTGGTGCAGAGGTCAGAAAAAATAATAATGTCAGATTAAGAAAGTACAACTGAAGGGCAAGTCAGCAGTCGTTATGTTAAAGCACTTCCTCAGTGACAGTTTTATTATTTAGACTGCCTTTCACATTTTCATAAAAAGGTTCATTTGACTATATGTACAACATAGTGTCATGCATGCAAATTTTGCACTTCTGAATTTCTTACAAGAAGCCAGAATACTCATGATGGTATCCTTTTCCAACTCTTCTACAAAGTGATCAATTCATATACAGTACTTTGTTCAGCTGTTGCTGAAATGTATTACAAAGAGGCATTGCTGTTAATGAAGTTTAAAGTCTGGCACTAGCAATGTTGCTTATGAGAGCCAAAGCTCATAAAAACGGCAGCTTGAAATCCATTCAGTAAAGGTTTTATATTCCTAAAGCCAGAGTTTAAACTGATTTCATCATGATAGAGAAAAGGGGTGGGGAGCCTTTTTGCTCCCAGTGGGTGAGGATTCTTGGGGGGGGGGGGCATGGCCACACAGTGCTGGATTCACTCGTGGAGGCCAGCAAGAGTCTCACCTGAGCCCAGCTGGTCCCTCTCTTTCCTCCATGCGCCTCACAGCCCCAAACTAGCTCAGAGGACCAGGTTGGGGGAACCCCCAGGACAGTACATGGGGGGAGGGGAGAACATGCTATGTGGAATTCTTCCCACACTTTCAGCACACAGGGAGACTTGTTCAACATGCTTGCCCTCCCTCTGCCCCCCCCCCCCAGTGCATGGAGCATGTCTCTGGCTGCACTGGGAACACTGGGGGGTGTGTACTAAATGATGTAACAAGTCTGGTTGCTGTGGAATTGCTGGTGACTGGAGACTCAACACCCCGCCCAGCAACCCCAGTGCAGCCAACCTATTTCCCCTGAGTTGTGGGTGGGGTTCTCCAGAGCTTGGCAGACCAGGAGGGCATCAGCTAAGAGCCACATTTGGCTTACAGGCCACAGATTGCCTGCCTCTAATACAGAAGGAGCCAAGCTAAAACAAAAATGTAGTCTGTGCTGCTGGATCAGCCTGAGCAAGATTTCTGGTGGGATGCATTCCCTGCAAATGCTAAACCTTTATTGGCTGCTTGTTCATTTCTAGCTATGTTAAATGTTGACAGAAATCCATTGCAATGCAAATGAGCTGTGGTTTAGAGGGGCTAACTGGTCTGCTCCAGTGCAGTTTCCATTTGCTTTGACGGAACTTGTACAGCCTATGTTCCTGGCAGACTGTTCCCAGATATAGCTTTAAGAGCAGTCTAGTCAACTGTATGCAATAATCTGGCAAATTTCAGTAACAAGACAAGAGGAATGCAAGAAATGAATTGCTCAATAGTAGAAGGTCATGTTGAGAAGCCTGGGGAATGTGGGAAAATCTCCCATGGACTTCAGTTTGTGAATCAGACAGGCTCTGGCTGCTGGAAGCAATACTCCAGTCACTAATGGAAGGGCTCCTCCAGAATAGTCATTTAGTAATTACAACCTTTGACTCTCTTCTGGCTCTGTATCTTTTCTCATTAGATATTTATTTTTGGAATGAACTCCTCACCCCACACTGAGTGTAAACTATTCTCAGGACCGCAAAACATATATTGATTTTGCTTTGCTTTTCTTTTTTTACTCTGTGCCTGTAATGGTAATAATTTGGAGATTCTGCGGGGCTTGAAGGAGAATGGGCAGAAGTAGAGAAGGGGGTGTCCAAGGAGTCCTAGTGTAGGGTGCTGTTTTTAATTAGGGTCTTTCTATATACAATTTTGGTTTTTTGTGCAATTGGCACATCTTCCTGAAATGCAGTACTTTTGTAGCTTCCAAAGTGCAAAGAATTGCAAAGTACTTAAGCAATTCTTAAGTAGACCACAAGCAGAGCGTTCTGGATCCTATTTCAGGGGTTGCAAAGCATACCCTCCAACATGCCACAGATAAAAATTTCTCACTCCCCTGCAACTGACCCTCCTCGGCCCGCCCCAAGCATTTCCTATCAAAATAAGGGCAAGTGCCACCACAACTACACCCATGGGACACAGCACACATGCCCTCCACCGTCCTGAGCCAACCCTTTAATCCCGATTTTGTTGTATTTTATTCTTTGGTAGATTTACAAAAGAGAAAGGCACACAACAATAAATACTGTTTGTGTTGGTTCAGGCCTACTTAATCACTCCTTCTGCAACACAGGAGTTCCACAGCAGGTATGCTGCTGCTGCTGCTGCTGCTGCAGGAACAGACCCTCCAGGTGTCCCTATTTTCCAGGGGCATCCCTGAGTTAGAGAAGCTGTCCAGGTTTTGGATTTGATCCTGGAATTGTCCTTAGGACGTCCCTATTTTCATTGGATAAATGTTGGAGGGCATGCAGGAATGGCTTCTTAATGACAGCAAGCTTGAATACTTCAGTTTTAACTACAGTGGTACCTCGGGTTACAGATGTTTCAGGTTACAGACACAACTAACCCAGAAATAGTACCTCGGGTTAAGAACTTTGCTTCAGGATGAGAACAGAAATCATGCTTCGGCGGCGCGGCAGCAGCAGGAGGCCCCATTAGCCAAAGTGGTGCTTCAGGTTAAGAACAGTTTCAGGTTAAGAACGGACCTCCAGAACGAATTAAGTACTTAACCCGAGGTACCACTGTACTTAATCACCTACAGAGGATGTGAGGCCACCACTGCCATTTAGTGACCAAGCTAAGGAGAAAACCCGGCTTTCTCTGTGCATGTATCAATCACAGAATCCTAGAATTATAGAGCTGGAAGGGATACAGGGTCATCTAGTCTATCCCCCTGCAGTTCAGTTATCTCAACTAAATAATACAAGATGGATGGCCATCCAATCTTTACTTAAAAACCTCCAAGGAAGGAGAGTCCACCACTTCCTGAGGGAAACAGGAGGGAAACACTGGCAAACAGCTCTTACAGTCAAAGCTTTTCTGAATGTTGAGTTGGAATCTCTCTTCTTGTAACTTGAAGCCATTGGTTTGTGTTGTACCCTCCAGAGCAGGAGAAAACAAGCTTGCTCCATCCTCCATGTGAAAAGCCGTGAGATATTTGAAGATGGCTATCATATCTCCTCTCAGTCTCTTCTTTTCCAGGCTAAACATGCCCAATTCCTTCAACTGTTCTATCTATGCACTTATCTTGCCCTGCTGCATTTTGTAAACACAAACGTTCCTCTTGCTTGTTATTGACAAGTTCTAGAAATGGGACGAGGCAGGAAGCACTTGCTAGAAGCCTAGTGTGCATCTGATGTGCCCTCCGCCCTTTAAGTGAACAACCCACCTAGGGGCACTAGGTAGGTTCTGACAGTTAGCTGACTCTGTAGTACCACGGTCTCCAGATCAACAACTTGGAGGTAGGGATGCCAAGCCAACGTTTAATTCAGCCCTGTCTTGAATCCGGCGACAGTTTGTGTTGAGCATGGCATGCCTCCATTTATCCCTCAAGACACCCATTCATGGGTGTAACAGAAGCATTACATCATTGTCTGATATTGGTGTTTCTTTTCCAGTCCATGCAGTTGAAAACCCCACCCATATATGTAAATTTCATAATGGTTTCTCTTTGGCTGATAGGCAGTGTAGTTAATCCCCTACACTGTAGTTTACCACTCCCATGGAACTAATGGTCAGTTTTGCTGTGAATGTGCATGCAGTTTTAATTCCAGGTATTCTTCTATGCAAGGTTTTCTGCATGGCAACACTCACACATGGGCTTTCAGGGGAGGCTCAACAAGGCCGGCCACCACCTTGGGGAGGCCCAATAGGGCCCTCCACTGCCATATTGCCAGCAGGGCCTGGCACATCAATATGGGGGAGGGCCTCAACCCCATCTGCACATACTTTGGGGGGGGGCGGGCTGCATGGTCTGGCCATAGAGAGTTTTGCTAGCTAGCTAGGGAGGGGTGACTATTTAAATTACTTTACCTTTGCAATGCTCCTATCACACTGTTCTCTCCAACACAGATTGTGGGAAGGGGAGCACTGGCAGGGGTTTAGTGTTTGTGGGTTGAGGGAGGAAGAATTCTTATTTTAAAGAGTGGTGGGGAACTGCATCTCAGCCACACTGCTCATGGAGGTTCCATGGGCAGAAACATGGCAGACTGGTGGGAATGTTGCTTTATAGGGGCGGGGAACTTGCACTTCAGATACAGCACAACTGCATATGGAGGTTCCACAAAGAATTTTGCTTCAACGAATCTGGTAAATTTCATTATTCAACAGAAATATCACCATCCACATTTTTTTTTGCTGTTTTGGAGCTCTATGGCTATCATTTTGTAAAAGCAAAGCAGTAGTACCATGAACCTATTCAGAAGCATGAAGGTTTTTATTTATTTATATTTTATATTATATTTATATATTCTTTCCACACATGAATGGAACAGTGGCAGTGTTATCACATGGCCGACCGCTCCCAATCCTAATGTGGGGGGAAATAATTATTATTCTGGCAGCCATTCAGGCTTCCCCAGCTTGGACATTCCTACGGCTGCAGTCTTCGCATACTCCGTTCCTCCAGGATACGGAAAAGATGGTACCAGAGGAGCCCCTTTGCTTGCTGTGCGACTACTGAACAGGCTAGTGCTGGGGCACATGATGGGTGGCTACTGGGCAAGTGGAAGGAGCGGGAGGGCAGCTGGGCAGGTGCAAACTGGGGTGGGGGTGGGGGTGGGCATGAGATATGGTGGCAAAAGTCATGCAAACCTCAGTGGAAAAGAGTAGTCAAACAGCCCCAAAACACAAGCAGCCAGCAGCACAAACAGAAAATCTCTTTGATATATGAGGCTATTCCAATGGGAGATGTTGCGTAGCCCGCCCTAAGGCTAGAGATGAACAACAGCACTCCCACCCCAGAAGAATACAAAAGGCAGACAGGACTACACAGAAAAGAGCCACACCCCACGCTGCACTCTGGGAAGCCGCATCAAACATACAAAATGCAAAAGTGCTACAGTATGTGAAAAACATTAAAACTGAGATTCCAAAACAAATGTGGACATTACGTAACTATTACATATTTTAAGTGATTGGCCTCCACACTCCCACAACAAAAAGAGTTCCCAAAAAGCCATATGTGAGTGGAAAAAGTTAATCTGGTCGTACATTGCAAAAGAAAGAAAGGGGAGTAAAGGCCACACTTCCTGCTTGCGCAAAATTTTTTCCCATCCCTACTTGGCAGTGGTCCCAAGATTATGCCTTTCATTTAGCTTGATGGCCCCAGCTTATTTTACCAATCTTTCCCAAATACATGCTATTTTTCAGAGCAAATGTCTACTTCTACACAATCAAATGTTTCTTCTATGAATATACAGATACATGCACATTCACACACAGAGAGAAATAGGGATGGATGACTGCAATGTTGGTTTCTCTCAATTTCTAATTTTCCCCATCTTAATTCAGTTCTACACATTTCCATGGGAAATGGCGATTTTTTAAAAGCCTCCTGAAAATTTGTCAGCACTAAAGTGCAAATTTCTTCTAATATAGAGATTTTAGCATGCAATTTTCACTAATAAACTTTTTTTCATTGAATTTTTGCTAATATAATGCATGCTGTGTTATTTTCACCAATATATGCAATTTTTGCCACATTGTTCAACTGGAGAACTGCATCACAAAATTTGGAGAAGTGTGAATTTTGAAGAATATGTGTGCTTCCTGTAGAGGTTCAAGAAATGTGGATCAGGTAGTTTTTCATTAAATCTGTTGAATTTCTCCCACATCCCTAAATGGCAGGAGCCGTTTCTCCTCAGATGACTTCTGAAACCTCTCCCCTGATCTTTCCTTCTCCTCTTCCTCCCCATAGTGGGAGGAAGTAATCAGCTAATTAATGCTGTCCAGATGGAGGGTCAGTCAGGGACAGTTAAGGCGCTGGTGTTTGTTGTCTCTTTTTAAATGCCATGCAAACATTCGTGAAACTAATGCAAGTTGATCCTCTGCCCGCCATCCTCTGTGTGCCATTTATCTCCTTAAGGTTTACTCAGGTAAGCATCTGGCTCAATGGGAAAGGCATTAATGAACACGCCAGAAGAAGGTTCATTCATATAACTGAGAACAGAACATTGCTCGGGCTTTATTCACCTCACTTTGCAATTTCACAAACTTTAACACAAAGAACCATGGCAGTTCAAAGGCCATCCTGACCATAACTTCACAAGCCTGGTTTTATTTGGATTTTCTGGCTTCCCAATCTCTAGAGTTTTATTTTAAGATGATATGATGTCATGGACTGGCTGGACACAGAGGCGTGGGGGGAGGAAGCAGTTGGGAAAGCCCCAGGGGAAGAAGGCTCAGAGTCCAGGGATTGGTGGTGGGACAACAATGAGTGGTCAGAGGGAGAAGACTGGGAGGAGGGGGGAGCTGAAGAGGTAACGGGGCTCAGTGAGCAGAGGAGGGAAACCAAGAGGCAGAAGTGGGGCAAGCTGGTGAAGAAGTCAAGGTGTCTCCCCCTCCCCTAGAAACAGGCCTGTTGGCATAGATGCAGACTATGTAGGAAGGACCTGGAGGAGGAAGAGATTTAGGTAGCTGTGGGAAGGCGGGGATCTTCAGCCTCCACAACTGCCCCAGAGGGGCAAGACCTACCAAGAAGAGTCGCTGTGCTCATTAGGCCAGGCTTACCTGAGCAGGCCTAGTTTCCGCCAATAAAGAGTGAACTTACATACCCCATGTGATTTATTGCTGGTTGGCTCCCTGACACATATGCCTTTGGAAGGTGATTGCCACCTTTTCTGGAAACCTTGCTAAATGCACAGAAGCCTTGCTAGAAACACTAAAATAAAAATTCTTTCCTCTCTCTCTCTCTCTCTCTCTCTCCCCTCCCTCCCTCCCTCCCTAAAATAAGAATTCAAAACCTTCCTTTCGCCTACTAATGTGCTATTTTTTAAAAGAAGGGAATGAAAGAAGCATGTTGTTAGGAAAAGGTCCTTTTGATCAGACCCCTTTTAGCCAGATGACTGAGGTTCAAGGTTTTGTCTCCTTGGGAACCCTGCTTAATCAGCTTCATGACATTGATGGTTTCCCTCACAAAGTCACGAGTGTGCAGTGGTGCTCAGCTGCTCTAACTGAGCAAAAGCCATGAAACAACGGCAGGATGTGACAAGCTTGGCAGTTGCTGCACAGCTGCCATGTTTGCAGAGGGCAGCCCCACTGCCCGAGGCTCCTGGATCTTGGATAGGTTAGCACTGTGTTCCAGTCTCAACTCATATGTCTTCTAGGTTTTTGGACAGTTCACAGCATAATTAACCCAAAGCTCTGAATTTACTCACTCAGTTTTTATTAGGTCATTGCCTCTCTTCTGCCCAGCTGTTTCATGGCTGCACACATGCAGAGCTCTCCTTCTTTCATTGTGCTATTTCACTGTGATGCTTGGGTGATATTGAACAGAAACCAATGTGGAGAGGAGCATGCTAAAACATTGCAGAGATAGCCAGAGAATGGTGGGTGGGAGGGAGGTAAAAGGAGATAAGACAGCACAGGCACTAGTGTGGTGTGCCTGAGGAATGGTCCTCAGAGATCAGCATCCACCACTAATGGCATCACCCATAGGGACGTGTGCTGGCCTTGGAGAACCCCTGCCTAGGTGCACTATGAAGACATCTGCCCCCTCTCCACTGCTGCCATCCATTTGCAAGCAAGCACCCTCCTCTCAGTTATCATTCAGTAGCAGCAACCAAGTATTATAAAGCCACCACTGCTGAACACAAAGGAGCTGCAACACCTTCAGATTTTGCACAGAACTGAATCATACCGAAGCTGCCTTAACATTGCAGTTTTCCACAAAGCAAATCCTCCTTCCCCAACACTCATATACAGATGCTCAGGTGGACACTGCCTTCACTTTTTCAAGGAATTGCCTACTTTTCACCTTTCCTTCCTCACACAAAAATCACACAGTGAAAATGAGCCCTGCTCACGCATTTGATACTAATGGACCTGCTAGCTAGGGATTATGGGAGTTGTAATCCAAAAACAGGTGACGACCCAAATTTGGGAAACCCTGCTCTAGATTCTACGAAGGGGCATGAGAAGCATGAGTACTCCTCTTTCAGTGTAATTCCATATAGATCAAAAGAAATACCTATCAAAAGATCTGCATATTGAAACAGGTCTCCTCTGCAGGTCCCCAACATGGCTCTTGTGTATAACAAAATACCCCACTACAGCAGTGGTAGTGGGGGGGGGGGGAGTAGCCAAAAAGTAAAGAAGAGAGCTGTGGCACTTTAAAAGATTTGGCCATTTATTATGGCCTAAGCCCACAAAAGCTTGTGCCTCGTAATCAGTATGTTAGCCTGAATCATAAGTGCAGACTATGTTTGGCCTTAGGTGCCCAGGCAACCACAAAATTTAAATGAAAGGGCTGCCCCCTCACTCCACTTGGCGGCATGTGCACACTGTGGGGCATGTGTATGTCATGTTGGCACGCCCCTGTGATTTCTGCAAGTGACATCGGCACACCACAGGCATGCCAACATCACACAGCTGCATGCACATGCCCCGGTCACCCGCTGTCACGGGGGCAAGGTGGCACGCCTGGCCTGAATATATGAGGATCTACAACTATCCAGTAGCTGGCAACCACTTCCTGAGGACAGTGTAAAGCAACAAGGTGAACTATAGGACATTTCCCAAGTAAACTTGAACTTCAAGCTAAATAATGCACATTGCTTCGTATTTCAGAACCTTTCTAAGTCCTACTTCATACATTGCTTCTAGAATGGAATAATCCTATACATCATCTTGTATCCCAAAGCAGTAGTTGCTGCCTTAGAACCTCCAGGAATACAGATTAGCTGCCCTCCCTACCCGTTCTAGCCTTGACTACCACTCTTCATCTTCCTATAGCCCTGCCCAATATCGATCACTTGGCACTGTAAGGGAAATTCCATTAGCGCCAGTTACCATAATAAATCATGGCCAACCGGCACTAATACTGATTACAATTTTAGCTAATCTTCATTAGTGGTTATTAGCATACAGCCACAACCAGTAAATCATAACTACTGATTTGGCATAAAGACCAGAATAGCCCACATAAGTTTTATGCTATCAAGCCTGCAACTTCCAACCAGTTTTAGTTATTATTATATGTAGTCAGCTTGCTTGGCTGTCTGCATTGCATCACCATATAAAGGCATCACTTGGCTTTGATACCTTATGATAGCCTAAGGTTAAAGCATCATGGGTATAAAGGGGGAGCAGGATATATCCACCGGGGGTGTGTGTGTGTGAGATAATATGTACACAAAAAATAGCTGCTTACCCTTTCTGCACTGTGTCTTCTCAGAGATCCATATGGTATTTTGAAGAGAAATTTTCGGCTCCTGGTTGGTGTCACGGCTGCCTGCACCACCATAGTGCAGTGCAAATCTCTCTCTCTCTCTCTCTCTCTCTCTCTCTCTCTCTCTCTCTCCGTGTGTGTGTGTGTACACGTCTCTGTGTGTGAGAGAATGAATGATCAGCCCAAAGAAATTTCCTCTGGGATGACTTAAGGAGTTCCCAGCTTGCAAATAACAAATGGCTCAGTGGGTTGGTTGTTTTCTCCCCGCCAAAAAAGAAACCAAACCCACTAACAAAAAACTTTAGACCATGAGTCAATATGTGGCTTGTTTGAAGTAGAGAGGGGAGGGAGAAGCCCACCCCCTTCACAGCATGCTTCAAGCAGCGTATCTTTAGCTCTGGTTATATTTCTCCCAGCACAAAAAGACTGCTGTGCCACAGAGGTGGAAACATTCTGCTTCTGGGGGGATTGTTCTAAAAATGTCAGCCTCGCTTCTTGTAGCTACAGATGGTAACCAGGTCAGTTGTCTAATCAAAGCTAAATCAGACTTCTTTATACATGCCACCATGTGACTGTAGACCCCTTCTGGTTTGCTCTATAGTCGATCACATGTTCTTCTCCCAAACAATATCTGGTGTATCACCATCTGGTGTGGAGATTAATGTGAAATCCTATGTTCAGATTTTGCTTCCTTCCAGACATGAGAAAGCATAATAGCACACAGAGCAATCAGGCTGGGAACAAAAGGAGTCACCAGCCTGCTCAAGAGCACAGTAAAATGACCCCACCAGGCAAAACACAGCTTGGCAGCCACGTACAGTAGACCACAACCAGCTTGATCAAGACTTTTTTTTTGCTGCCTGCCTGCCTGGCAGTTGCACCAAATCTAGGGGGTGGAGGTGTCTTCTGCACCCTCAATATTTGTTTGAAGGGGGCTCAGCCCCCCCAATACTGAGGGGTCCAGTGCAACATCACAGAAGGTGCAGTGTCCTGCACAGCATTGGGAGACGTGTGTGACATCACGTGTTACGCGCATGACATCACACATACACGCCCCGTGCCCCCTCAATCTTGCAGGCAACCCAGTGCCACTGCTGCCTGGGATGTAGTTATGAAGGATTGTCCAGTAACTGGAACGACAGGCTACATGGCTGAAGGGCTACATTCAGGACCAATGGTGGGTCACAGTTCTGTAGGCCTGCTACAAAGCCTGAGCATCAGTGAAGAGGTCAGAGGGTTGCAAAATAAATTTACGGCCTCAGATCACTTTGTGGAAGACAGAATGACTCCTGAGAATCACAACGTTTGCCAATCTAAATACCTGGTTTAATGCAGAGCTGGAAAGATTTTTTGGTCAAAAACTAAAAAGCCAACAGGGTGTGGGGGGGAGGGGGAAATGCAGTAATGTAATATACAAGCACGTTGTTTCTAACAAAGATCTGGCTGGCATAACTGCACACACATTAAAAGGCATTAAAGGAAAAAGCAGCAGCTTGATGTGGGAAATTCCAAATATTAAAACAATCAGCCTTTGTTCATAATTAGTTCCATATGTGCACTGCAAATTGAGTCAGTGTATGCGTGTGAGAGGGAAGGAGGAAGGGAGGAGAAAGCCAAGCCGGAAAGGATGGAAATGGCTTCAGCATGACTGATTCATATAGATTCATTTAAAAGTCTTGGTATAAGGTTACACTGTTGGCCTTGAAAATGAAAACAGAGATTTCTTGATTTATTTTTTAAAAAAATCTATCTCCCATGACAACTGCCTTCCTTTTTGAAGCACAGCATTCAGGGGCAGATGTTGCTTGCTTCTACATTGGCTGACCTAGGGCGACTTCACAGCACGGAACATAATTTTTTTCCCTGGATTCACATAATTGTATGTTCACAGGTGGATCAGGGAGCAAGACTCTGATTACTCTCTCTTTTTCTGGGACAATGGAGGAACTTTTCCCCACTAACATGACAATAACTCTGATCTAGCTTGAAAACTGCAAATATAATGAACGACTAGTCCCTTCCCCAGTTCCATACAAGTGACCAAATATGGGTAACTAGAGGAATGGCACCAAAGATAAAGAAAGTGGAAATCTGCCCAAAAACCTGCTCCGACCATAATGCGGTAAGGATGGAGTTGAAATTAACATCAACTGGCCCCTTCAGATGGAGGATGAATGACACCTTATTCAGGGATGAAAAGGCCCAAAAAACCTTGAGAGACTATTTTGAAATAAATGTGAACACTAATGTAGAAAAAAGAGTAATCTGGGACGCAAGTAAAGCTGTCATGAGAGGGTTTCTGATACAACAGAATGCAATAAAGAAGAGAAGTCAAAATGAGAAGAAAGACAAAATTTTGGGGAAAATAAAAGAAAGTGAAAAGAAATTGAGAGCAAAACCAAAGTCGCAGGAGATTTTGAGAGCAATAAAGTTATACCAAGTACAATACATGGAAATGATGAACCAGGAAATAGAATGGAAAATTAAACAAATGAGACAAAAAACATTTGAATCAGCTAACAAATGTGGGAAATTGCTGGCCTGGCAAATGAAAAAAAGACAAAAATTAAATACTATCACAAATTTAGAAGTGGAAGGAAAGAATATACATAACCCAACTGAGATTAGAAACTGTTTCCAGAGGTATTTTAAACAACTATATACACAAGGGCCACAGAAAGAAATGGATATAGACCGATTTTTGAAGACAAATGGATTACAAAAAATATCCCAAGAAAGTAAATTAATGTTGAACTACAAAATATCTGAACAGGAAGTAGAAGGTGCCATTCAAAACATGCAATTAGGCAAATCTCCAGGACCGGATGGGCTGACTTCTAGATATTATAGCTCTTTGAAAGAGTGGCTATTACAACCTTTAAAGGAAGTCTGCAATGAAATATTGGAAGGAAAAGGGCACCAGAGTCTTGGAAAGAGGCGTACATTACACTTATACCGAAGACAGAGACTGAAAAGACTCAGCTTAAGAACTACCACCCCATATCGTTACTTTATGTGGATTACAAAATTTTTGCAGACATTTTGGCCAAGAGATTGAAAAAAGTATTGATGGAAGAGATTCATAAAGACCAAGCGGGCTTTCTCCCGGGAAGACACTTGTCCGATAATTTGAGGAATATAATTGATATTTTGGAAAAACTAGAAGTGAACATAAATACTAAAGCAGCTTTGATATTTGTGGACGCGGAGAAAGCTTTTGACAATATCTCTTGGAGTTTTATGAAGAAGAACCTACAGGGGATGGGGGTAGGCCAAGGTTTTGAAAACGGTATAAGTGCAATTTATTCAGAACAAAAGGCTAAACTAATTGTAAATAATGTGGTGACGGAAGAATTTAGGATAGAAAAAGGGACAAGACAAGGTTGCCCAATTTCCCCATTGCTTTTTATATCGGTCCTGGAGGTTCTGCTGAACATGATTAGAAGGGACCGGTTGGTTAAAGTTATACAGGTCAGAGCCAAACAGTACAAATTGAGAGCATTTGCAGATGACTTAGTATTGACGTTACAGGAGCCAGAATCTAGTACCAAAAGAGTTTTAGAACTGATTCAAGAATTTGGTCAAGTTGCAGGATTTAAGCTGAATAAGTTAAAGACCAAGGTTTTAGAGAAAAAATTAACACCAATGGAGAGAGAGAGAGGTTTCAGAATGAGACAGGTTTAACAGTGGTTAAGAAAGTCAAATACTTGGGGATTAACATGACAGCAAAAAATGGGAATTTATTTAAAGACAACTATGAAAAATGCTGGGCTGAAGTGAAAAAAGATTTAGAAATTTGGTCAAATTTGAAGCTTTCACTGCTGGGCCGTATTGCTGTGGTAAAAATGAATGTATTGCCTAGAATGTTGTTTTTGTTTTAAACACTGCAAATTGTGGACAAAATGGACTGTTTCAAGAGGTGGCAGAGAGATATTTCTAGATTTGTCTGGCAGGGCAAGAAGCCTAGAATAAAATTTAAAATATTAACAGATGCAAAGGAACGAGGTGGATTTGCCCTGCCAGACTTTAAACTTTACTATGAATCAGCAGCTTTTTGCTGGTTGAAAGAATGGCTGCTTCTTGAAAACACTGACATTTTGGATCTAGAAGGGTTCAACAATGTATTTGGATGGCATGCATATCTGTGGTATGATAAGGTCAAAGCACATAAAGCATTTAAAAATCACATTGTCAGGAAAGCATTGTTTAATGTCTGGATAAGATACAAGGACTTATTGGAAAATAAAACTCCAAGGTGGTTGTCACCGATGGAAGCAAAAGCTCTGAAAAAGCTCAATATGGAGGCCAAATGGCCGAAATATTGGGAAATTTTGGAACAAGACGGAGATAGACTGAAATTGCAGAGTTTTGAGAAATTAAAAACAAAGTGCGAGATTGGCTTCATTATTATCAGATAATGGAGGCATATAAGTTGGATAAGAAAATTGGTTTCCAGGTGGAAAAATCAAAATTAGAAACAGAACTATTAGAACCCAAAACTAAGATTTTGTCAAAGATGTATAACTTGCTGTTGAAATGGAATACTCAGGATGAAATGGTGAAATCTGCTATGATTAAATGGGCACAAGATGTCGGACATAACATAATGATGGCTGACTGGGAACAGTTTTGGACCACAGGTATGAAGTTTACGGCATGTAATGCCTTAAGAGAGAATATTATGAAAATGATATACAGGTGGTACATGACCCCAGTCAAGCTTGCAAAAATTTATCATTTGCCCGATAACAAATGTTGGAAATGTACAGAAACTGTAGGTACATTCTTTCACCTTCGGTGGACGTGCCCAAGGATTAAGGCTTTCTGGGAAATGATATACAATGAACTGAAAAAAGTATTTAAATATACCTTCTTGAAAAAACCAGAGGCCTTTCTCCTGGGCATAGTCGGTCAATTGGTGCCAAAGAAGGATAGAACTTTTTTCATGTATGCCACAACAGCAGCAAGAATACTCATTGCAAAGTATTGGAAGACACAAGATCTACCCACTATTGTGGGTACTGGCAGAAATGACTGGCAGAATCCGAGACCAGGGAGAAGAGTCGGTGGAAGAA